GTGGGCTGTCAGTTGCAGGGTGATATGGCTGCTGGCAATGGTATGGAACCACACAATACAGATTAAATATATAATTGGGATTAAATATATAATTGGATTTTAGAAGTTGTTTTCTGTTTTCACTGCAAGTATTTAATCATTTGAAAATACCCCTGATAATGAAATGGACTACGTCTAGCAGTAACATGTCATGGTATTGATTCAACTGGATGTTATCAGGTGTCTGTAGAAATAAGGGACCATTAATCATGCTCCCACAAAATGTGAAATTTGTCTTTGGTATCATTTTATTAATTAGTATGTTGCATTGATGTTTTTCTACTGATGTTTGTAAAAACCTGAAGCTGTCTGAATTGACATACTTGCCAGGTCTGCTGGTACCTTCAGTTGTGTATTAGAAGCATATGCACCAATAATCTTTCTTCTCTTGAGATCACGTGACCTTCTGTTCCATTGCACAGCATACTGATGAAAAGGCATAGTTTGGTGCTACTTTACAGCTTTTAAGAATAATGGGACATTGCATGTTCTGAGCCATTTTTACTACTTTGGATATAGTTTGGATACTGTTCTGTGTGATTTAAGAAGGCAGCTACCAACTTTACCTTCTCTAGAAGACTTGAGCAGCATTTCATATTTATCGCTGGTGGTTTGCAAATATTCTCTAAAAATTCATCCTCTAGTTTGAGTTACTCTGGTTTTCCCTGCTATGATATTCTACCAGTCTTTTGTATGTGGTGGGCTCTTCTTGTGGAGGGCATCTAAGAGTGACTCATGTTAAAAATAACACAGTATACTGTAACATTTTAGAAATAATAAAAATCAACTGTATTCTCAAGCTTGATTTAAATTATTAACCTGTAGTGGCCCTTCTCACACGAAATGGAGCCCGAACGGAGTACAGAACTATATCTTAAGTCTTAGACTTTTTTAGAAGATTGTGAATGAGTTGTCACATTTGAGCATGGAGCCTGAGGCCACTCTTGAAAGGATTTGAGAGCACTGAAAGTACATCTCTAAAATGCTATGAATGTAGGGATTTTACATTATTTTTGTACTGCCATTATTTTACAATATGAAAGGTGCAAAATGATTTTTTGTTGTATTCTGCTAAAATGTAGCAGAAAATTAGATGGTCTCAAAAACAGACTGATGCTTTTAATAGAAAATATAAAGACGTTGGTTTGTATGAGTCTGTACTACAAAGGGATTCACACTTCCACCTGTCTTTCCACTAGGGGTTAAAGCAGTAGTACAAATCCGGTGACGCAGGCAACCAGAAAAAGTAGAGATGTGAAACTAGCCCATGAATCACTTCCTACATCACTGTTGTTGAATTTGACTGTACTAGGTCATTCCTTGCTAGATTGTAGTTTGTATCAACTAGATTTTTCTCATGCCTTAATAAATACAATCAAACAGAAAATATTAATTAAGACAGTTTTTTAAATTTTGGTTTGGATAATTCATACTAATAGAAGTCTTAGCTTCAACAAGTCAAGAGTAGTGGTTTCAGAACTGGTTAGCCTATATTGCATGATCTATAGCCAATAAACATAGCTAAAATGTTGTTTCAATCATATGATAATCATTAAATATCTACTTACATTAAGGCAGTATATACAAAAATTGAATGTTGGCTATTATCTTGTAGTTACTGCCACATATCTATGTGATTTCATTTGCTCAAACTTTGGGTGATTTATAATATTTTATGATTTATTAAAGAAATTTCTCTCTTTTAGATTTAGAAGACAGTTAAACTTTAAGATCCAAGATCTGCCTTTATACAATTCTATGACCACGTGTCCTTAAGAGATCCTTATGACATTGGAAGAGCCTGTTTTGAGTTTGCTTACATTCTGTTCAGTCTGGAGAATGTTGGAGCATTGCTATTGAAAACAAAGGTGTGCACTAGGAGAGAAAATGGTGCACATTTGCAAATGTCAGGCAGTCATAAACACGGAATACTGTCTCTTAGCCTAATTTCCCCTGCCCTGACTCGGGCTTTCCTCTGTATGAGTAATAATGTAAGATACATATGCATTGTGAGTGCTGCACATGTACATTGTTTTTTTTTTCTGTTTTTCTTTGTTTGTTCTATTAGATTTAATATTCTGTCCTTACAATTCATAGCAGAAAACCCTGCCAGTCCAACAAGATTTTTCATTTTTCATTCAATAACTACAGGGACCTGCTCTCATCCACTGAGGCATCTTCAGCTAGAAGACATCAGTGAGACAGACTTATCATATGTTGCATTTGTTTAATGTTTTGTTAAAGTTCCTATTGTTGCAAGTAATTGGAAAAGGTGTGGGTTTTAGACGCACTTTATCTGGTAATCTTTCTGAGGCTGAGGATTCCTTGAAGACCAAAAAAAAAAGAAAAGCAGGTCGCTAGACGGACCTCCTTTTAGAACATGGCTGCATCTGAGTAAATTAAATTTAATATTCAATGAACAGTACAAGAATGTTCAAAAGTGAAGTAAGTTCCAGGAACAGCAGCACAATCCTAAAACATTGTCCTAAAACACAGAAGTGGTAAAAATTAAATCCTACTCTTGCTGTA